ATTCACAAGCCTCGTCGATCAATTGAACAGTGCAAACGCTGTTTGGGCTTCCATACCACTTGTGGTTGCTCCCGCGCTCCAGCTTGCTGGAACTGCGGATCAAATATGCACTCCGAAACAGAGTGCAAGGCCCTCCCACGCTGTCGCAACTGTGGGGGACCTCACCGATCGGATTCTCGGGCCTGCCAAGTCAGACCAAAAAAATCCAGACCGGTGACCAAAGAGCAGCTCGCGTGGATTTGCCACATTGAATAAGGGGAGTTCGCGAAGGTGGCACGAGCCAGGGCTGCAGCAAAAAAGGCCGAAGAGGCAATCATCGCCGCAGCAAAGGATGTCTCGATGGCCGAGGCAACAGGTTTTGGAGCTCTGGGATCTGAAGAAGAAGTTTGAGGACACAGCAACCTCGACGATGTCCCCTTTTGGGGCATCTACTAACCAATAGCAGGATACCGGCTGGATCAAAGGTGCCTGCTAACTCATCTCTTGCTCTCAGCGGAGATTGAATAAACTTTGTCATTTGGAAGGTGTGACAGACAAGGGAATGTGTGAGGAGCGCATTTACAGGGTCCAATATGGAGGAATCTTCTGATATTTGGAGTTGTTTTGATTTTTGTGATTTTTCGTTCTTGTTCAATCAGCTGTACTTTTGGTAGAGATTCACGAGGTTGGAACGAGTTAGGCTGTAGGAAAACTTACAGGGAACCCTGCCGGATCTGCCGGTCCTTGACCCAATGTGGAAAACATAGCTTTAGCTTAGGACCGAATGTTTAAAAAAAAAAGAAACAGCTGTCCGCCACTCTGCTTTCCAATTGAAATGTAGCAAATTTCTTTCTACCAGGAACTTCACTTTTTTTTTTACCTAGTAATTTTTAATTATACCTGCAGAACAAGAAAATAAGAATAAATCCTTCCATCTAACATTAACCCCATACCAGATCATAAGGGAATATCTAATGGGCTCTTCGTATTTCGTCGTAGAACTTCGTGAGCTCGACCCATTTTCTGAAGGCAAGGGCGCCCTCGGGCGTGCCGAGTACCCATCTGATGCCAGGGTGGGGGTGTCGAGGTCCACCGCAAATACGAGCACAGTTTCTTCCTATACTGCAGTAGAAGAAGTGATCTGGGCTTTTTTCCTCGCCACAGGAGCAAGTCATTAGGACATCTTCGTGTGCAAAGCGACGATGATATTGGGCGAAATCTCCGTGCCTGGAACGAGCCACAATTAACGTCCCAAGTGCACGTCGGTTTAGACCTTTCAGTTCTGGCGTTATTCCTATACTAGGACCAATTACGAGTTCCTTGTATCTAGTGGGGCCTTCCTGAACCCAGTAGGCGGTGGTGGAAGCATAGTACAATTGAGAAATTTCTCTTTTTGCTCGTGCTATGGATAGAGGTAGGAGTGGCGCAGTCATTAGGCAAGCCGACTTCGCTAGAACATCAGCTGCTTCATTTCCAGGGATTCCAGAATGTCCGGGGCACCATCTAACACTGACTGCTCCTGCTCTAGTACAGGATGCCCGTGTCCTGTTTGTCCAACTAGCTGCTAGCTGCCGAAATTTTGCAATTTGGCAAGAGCTTGTTGCAGTTGGTGTTAACAAGAGGAGTCGAAGAGCCGCTTCTTGGTTATCTAGGCAGATAGTTACGTTGGTTGCGTAAAAGGCCATGGGATTGTGGAGGGCAGCTGCTAGACCCTCTGTTGCTCCAGATATTTCTTTGTTGTATACTTCTGCAGAAGCGCCTAGAGGAATGGTTCCGCAGGCAATCTCATGGATTGCGCCGCGTCGAATTGAGTATCCGGCTCCTGCTTGATTCTCTGTCATAGCGCCGTCGGAGAAAACAAAGAGCTCCATCATGGATTGTTGGGCGTACCATTCAGTGAAGGAATTGACTCCCGCTGTTCGGCCAACAGCGCCTATCTTTTCCAGACATTCATCGTGTCCAACTTCCCAAGGGGGAGAGAAGTTATCCTCTGAGAGCTCCGGAGAAATCCTTTCTCGGATCCCACGCATTCTTGAAGAATTCCACCGTCTACGAAGAGGGTGTCTAGGATCTGCTGCCGTAGTACGTAGGGCGAGGCTATCATGTATGCGCTCGAGCCAGGCTTTTGCGGGCCCCCAACCTGTTTCCCGAAGAAGAACAGCTATTGGTGTAGTACGGAATACAGGAAGTGCTGTGCGAGCAGCATCGTTCATCCGTTGTTGGATCCGAAGGACCAGTCCTTTCGGAGCTCCTTTAGAATACCATGTCTCAGCCCCGTAGAGCAAAGTCGCGAAAGCTGCACCTTGGAGCAATTGTCTCAAAAGTAGAGGGCTCATTCCTCGGGTGACTCTCGAAAGACTTTTAATTTGGCTTGTAACAGCCAAGGATCTTCCACATGCTTGTCTGACACGTTCTCTAAATCGGAGGCTTCGATCGAAGATGACCCCAAGCCAGCGAGTGTGAGCGTTTGGTGTGATCTCAACTCCATCTGCATATACACTAGGTTCTAGTGGAGATCCGTGCTTTCGGTTGAAGTATTGTAGCTCTGTTTTCGAGACTTCAAGGGCAATACCATTCTCACGTCCCCAGGCGAGGGTCATAGATAACTGCGTCTGAAGTAACTCTCCGCAGCTGGCGAGAGTTGGTGCGGACGCTATAATTGCAACGTCGTCTGCATAGCCGAAACGCTTTGGGGAGAGATGGATCATACCTTCAATTGCCAATAGAAATAATATAGGCGAATCTGGGGACCCTTGAGGAAGTCCGCAGTGTATCTTGAATTGAAATTAGTTCCGGAGATTGGAAGAATTACACACTAGCCTCGAGTTTGATTAAGAGATACGATAAATGTGTTTACTATACGAAGAAGTTTACTGATGTTTAATGGATAGTTAATTGTGATTAAATTGCTATATTCTATATGTGTGGCAAGAAGTCCCTCTATATACATGAAAGCGGGGTTTTCCGCACACTAGTGTGAACTCCAACATACTCCCTAATCTAACCTAAACGGGAAGGTTGTTGGAGATCCTGAAGCCAATGTATGCTGTCAGGCATCTATTGGCTAATTACTATTCATGCCAGTGAGTGATGATATGGGTTAATCATATCTCATGGCGCCAGTGCATATTATTCTAATATGTACTATTTGTCTACTGCAGTCATGTTGCTGCCTTAATTACAACATCTTGAACACCGGAGATATAGTTCCATTCAGTGTAATTGTGGCCTCTCGCTCGGACATGAAAGAAGACACCCATTGTACAACATTGAAGGGCCATCCTTGACCCTGTAGGCAGTGACACAGGCGGCCTTTTTGAATTCCGTCAAATGCACCGAGGTGGTCTTGTTTTTTTTATTTTTTTTTATAATTATTTAACATCGTGTTAGCTCACAACACAACCTTAAGGTCTGTGGGGAGGAGACCACTCCTACCCATTTTATTCACTGTCGACTACACGCTCACGTCACGCGTCGACTCAGAGGGAGATCGTCACATAGTGGCTTTATCCAAAAACTTCTCGGGCCAAAGTGTCACGAATTTTTCAAAATCTTTGAGAAGGAAACCTGCTGTTTTGGGTTGCCATCTACAAATTCGTCCTCTGATCTCATCGGGGACAATATAAATTAGTCATACAGATGATATGACAGGAAGGAAGACAAGTCGAGGAGATTTGTTTCCGAACCAGAGATTGGTAAATCTACAGAGCTGGATAGTTTTGTGGTTAGGAGTTTGGTTTTTAAAGGTTGAATTTTTGTACCAGTGCGAATTTTATACTAGCTACTATTTGTGTAGTGGTTCAAGCGGTGGGATCAAGTTTGACTTATCAGGGATATGATCTTGGCTGTGAACATCGGTCTTTGACCCTTAGGGGATAACGGGTATAGCCTAGGACCTAAATTAATAAACAAATAAACAACCTTAAGGTCTCGTGTTGGCCAGCTCAGTCTACACAAACTACCCGACGTGCCGATACCTTTCAATAAGCCCGACATGTTATAAATGGGCCAAGGCCTACCTGCTATGCACCCCGAACTATCGAAAGAAGCCAAAAGTACTCTCGAGCTGAGACTTTTGTATTCTAATACAATAGAGAAGATAGTTATATATATGAAAATGAAAGTTATCCATCACCTAGACCAGAAGTCTTCTGAATTTAGCTCTAGCAAATACAGGCCAAGTGCATATAATTTGAGGTACTAGTTAGTCTTGTTGTTGCATGCTTCAAAAAAGCGAGGCGGTCTTGTTAGTACATTGAGTTGTCTGGTTATGTGATATAGATCACATGATATATTAGCTTGCAAGGGTTGGCCTCTACTTTTATTTTAGTACACGAGTTTAGAGATACAAGAACAATCAAGATTTACACGTCACAGCTTTACCTACTGAAGTAGAGAGGTGATATCATCCTGTGATCCTAACAGTCTTGTATCGCTGTATGACTGAATGGAAGACAAGGGAATTAGCACAGTGGGAAGAGGTAGGATAAAATTGGAAAAGTTGAAATTAATTTTAATGCACACAAAAAATCTATAGAAGTACGATGACTAAGATGTATAAGTTTTCTCCATGTGACTTATAAATGTGACTTTGACTGGCTCGGCTCATCCTTGCACCAACCAGACACACCTTGTCATTCAACACTCGACATAATACAATACGAATCGGGAAGGAAAGAATTTATCTACTTTTCTGAAGGCTAGTTCTGACAAAATTACAGGATACAAGATTTGGTAAAGATGAAGGAATGAGAGTGACCCTAGATACTTATTGTAATGAAGAATGAGTAAGTGCAATGTTGAAGAATGTTCATTATGAAGTCAATTATTTGACATCTTAAATAACACTTTAATACCAATTTCGAACTAATCATTCAGTCATTAATAATCAATTTTACCATTAAAACCTTACAACTTACTGTTGAGACTCTTCTAATTGAACTTCTCTAATATATGCCTTTTATTTTCTCTTCCATGTTGCATAATTCTGATTTAATTTTAGGTTTTTGAAGAATAATTCATCAGTCCAAAACACGACCAGCGACAGATGCCCCACTTTTATCACAAGTTTTTGTCTTCTTTAGTGTCTTACCCATCTGAATCTCACCTAAAAGTGCAGTTGGTCTCCCTCCCGTTGAAGTGCCATGTGTTTGTGATATTTTTGAAATATTTTGAAGTCCAGGGGCGGGTAAAGGTGGCGGAGGAGGCGCTCCATCACTGATAAGTGGATGTGGAGGCGGCGGAGGTGGGGGTGGAGGGGGAGCTGGTGGACCACTACATGATGCCGGAACTGGAGGATCCTGTGATGAAGTAAGAAGTGATGGAGAAAAATCTTCAGTTAAATGAGTATTAGGTGAAACATCCTGTCCACCTGTCGCCGACATTGGGCGAGGTGGTTCCATGGTTCCAAATAGAATAGAAGCTAACTGGCGAGCATTGCCCGCTCCAGGTCCATCATCATCCGAGGACTCATCCTCGCGGTCGGAGTCTACAACAGACCAGTCATCATCCTCTGGGCGCGCACGATTTCTGCCTCCTGTTGGTTGAACCATTGTTTGAGTTGCTGGCTCTTGTGAAATCCGATGGAATGGGTTGTTTGATTGATTTGAAGATATTGATTCAGGCTCGGCTTGAGCTACCTTCGTTAGATATGGGTTATTCGTCTCGAATTCGGTTGGAGTATTGACTGGGGAAGGAGTAGATGATACAATTGATGTCGAGGCAAAAGTGGGAGATAGCTTGAGTGATGGTGGTGGCAGTGGTGGTGGTGAAGATGGTGATGTCATATAAACATTTATATCATTATTTTCTTGACTTGGCTCAGGAGGCGCCTTTCTAATTATCTCTTCAGGAATTTCGTCTTCAGATAAATTGTCTTCATCGTCATCTTTATCTATAGCTTCAAGCTGCCTCTGTAATTCTCGTTCCCGAGCTTGAGCTGCTTCAATCTCAGCGCGTTGGGCCGCTAGTCTAGATTCCTTTTCTCGCATCTCTGCCTGTGCCGCCTTTCGCTTCCTTTTTTCTTCTTCTTTCTTTAACTTTCCTGCTTTTACTTGTTCCTCTAAAGCTTTTAAGCGCGACTCTGATGCTTCTCGTTCCTTGACTAATTCGACTTCTTGCTGGGCAACATCATCCCTGAAATACATGTTAGTTGTAAGCGCAATTTTACATGATGAACTTACACAAGAGTTTGTGGGGAAACTTCATGTAATTTTAACCCAGGTGGGACTTGATCACTTTTCTCGAGACTCTTAGTTACACCTTTAATAGATTTCCTGGAAGGTGGTGGGGGTGGATTTTTTGATGAATGTTTCGGCTCAGGAGCAATTGGTAGAGATATATTTCCAGCTTGTTCTTCTGTTATTCTTGCTTGCCTTTCAGCCTCGCGCTTCATATCTTCGGCCTCTGCTTGTCTTAGCTTTGCAGCTCGTTCTTTCTTCTCGCGTTCTAATCTTTGTTGGCTTGATTCGACATGTTTTGTTGGGACCTTGATGCCAAGCGCTGCTAGGCGTTCGGCCATTCGCTGTTCAGCTTGTTGTTTGATATATGCTGCTCGGTCTTCGAGTTTTGCGTGTGAAGTAGCACTAGCTACCTGAGTAGGAGTAGATGTCTTGATTGGTGTTGAATTAGATAGAGATGAAGAATGGTTCTCAGATCTTTGGGAAGACGCTTGACGATAATTTTTATTACTGCTGCTTTCTTCTGCTCTAAAGCGAGCTGTTCGATTTGACCGTCCCAATTCTAGAATAAAGTCTTTGACCTCATCTTCAACACCAAGACCTTCTTCCCATTTACTTCTATCGTATTCGTTCCTATTGTCTTGAGTGTCCTTGGATAGACTCTCTTGAAGGCTTTGCGAAAATTCACGAACACTATCCTCGACGTCTCTTACCATACGCTCGTTGTTATCTTTTTCTGAACTTATCTTAGATTTTTCCTCTTCTAATCGATTTGGGGCATCGAAATCATCACTGCTTAATGGCAATTTCTTTCCAGTTAATGCTGCAGAGCGTTGTTGCATCATGGCTTTAGCTCTTGCCTTCAATCGGTCCGATTCTGTGATTGATCCTCCGGGCCCAGTACCTACGATAGACAAAGCACTACCTGGATGTGCCTTGGTATCCTTTATCCGAAAAAGCTCTAACTTAGCGTCAGCAATTTTTCTTTCTGTGTTACGAACCTCTGATGCGATCTCGGGAAGTTTTTCAGTGAGAGATTGTAGTCGGCGTTTCAAGATCCGGCGCTCAGTGATTATGTCAACATTTTCAGCAAGTGAGCTCGGATGCGAGTTTATATCTTCCTGGATACGTCGAATTTGTTGGTAAAGGACTTCAGCTTCACGGCTTTCCCTGCGATCGAGCGCATCTTTCTCATCAGAAGCCTTCTCATCCTTGGAAACCATTGACTCTAGAAGCACTTGCTTCTCTCGAATATTTTTCCTAAGCTGTTCAACGGAAATATCGGTATCGCGCGTAGTAGATGTAGAAGCTAAAAATTGGATATTGTTACCTATCCGCCGACGGGCGCTTGATTTGTATCCTACATCATCATCGTTGTTCTTGTAAACTGTGGCATCTTTCCGGCCACTACCTGCAAGGCTGAATTCGCCTCTTAAGGAATGGTTTTTAAGGTAGCTGACGCCTGTTTTCTGGGGAAGTAAATTTGCACCAGAATTTTTCCGTAAGTCTGATTCCTGATAAAGTAGAGATTTAATAGTGCCAATAGAGTCATTAAAATTTCTGGTAGAAGGTGGTACAAGCTCTGGAGGAAGTTGCGCAGGTATTGGATATCCGTTGAGTTTTCGGTAGATTAGATGCATCGCGACAGAAAATTCGTCCATGTTAAGACGACCTTTGTTTCCATTGTCAGCAAGAGTCCATATTCGTTCCAAGTCCGGCTTCTCAAGGCCACTCTGGCCAAACACCTCAATAGCAACGTCCCCACCGATAAATCCTTTTCCGAACCCGTCCCACGCTTTGAATACAGTATCATATCTTTTCTTTTCTTCTTTTGTTACCGCCCAAGGTATAACTGCATTTCCCTGAAGGCCCGAGGTCGTGAATATTCCTTGTTCGCGACCTTGCTGTGGCATCATTCGAGACTGGAGAAGGTCTATATTAGGTAAGCCAGTTTCAGGTGCATTCACAAATCCCCATTGGCCGTTGATTCCGGTAGGTTGAGTACCCAGCGGTGCTATGTTACCTCCTGGATTTACTTGACTGGAGAAGTTCTGACCTAGGCTAAATCCTGTTTGCATTGGCAGCACTGGTTGGAGGGAGCTGTTATAGTTCGTAATGGATGAGTTGGGAGGATTTTGATAACTGGTTGATATTGGCTGCAAGCCCTGGTTATATCCGGTAGGCATCGAGTGCTGAAATGCAGCCTGGTGTTGGTATCCACCCTGTGTATTTTCTATCTGGCCTACAAACCCCGTCATCTGTGTATTTAATAGAGTAGCATTTGACTGTATTGGCTGGGGTTGTTGTAAGACTGGTAGTGAGGGTAGATCTTCCCGATGAGAAAATCCAGGGCCGTTTATGTTGGTTTTTATTTCTGATCCATCATCTGCTACCCCAAAATTGATGATATCAACCATGCTTGAAACCTCATTTCTTATGTTTTCTGGTAGGGTAGATGGTAATTGTTTTCCGACAAGCTTTAGATTGCAGAGGTACATTGCAAGTGCAAACTCGGGAAAATGTAACTGGCCCGCCCGAGTAGTGTCAGCCAACGTCCTACCCAAATATTAGCTTTTAAATCGATACAGAACTTTGGATAATACCATATCTGAGATAGGCTGTTCCCGTCTAGCTTTGATCGCAGAAGTAAGTCTCTTGATTTGTCTCCAGAGAGTGTTTGCCCTTGGCCAACAGCAGATTTGAACAAAGTTTCAAACTTTGCCTGATCTTGAGCGGTGATAAATGACAATCTTATGTTCGGTATTCTAGCCCCGACATGGGATTTTTGAACTCGACGTCCCCTAGCTGTAGGAGGATCAGTTTTGAAACTATCAGTCATGGCAGCAAACCCTGTAGGCTGAGGTTGCTGCATCTGTAGAGCGGGCAGCTGTTGCGTCTGGCCTTGTAAATGATATTGAGAGGATACCGATGGGGCTTGCCCCATCGTACTAAAGCTTTGGTGCTGAGTAGCCTGTCCATTGTTGAGAGACACCGGTATTTGTTGGACTGGGAATGCTTGCTGTGTCGGTTGCAACTGTTGTTGGTGCTGCTGTTGCTGGAAGCTGCTAGACTGAGTATTACTAAATCTAGAAAGGTTTTGTTGGAATGGGGCTTGTCCATATCCAGAAGCGTTTGGATTCAAATAGTTCTGCTGAAGTTGTTGCTGTGGCTGGAATGTATTATGGAGTTGGGAGCCGCGAGTTCCTGGGTTGATACCCTGACCACCTAAGTTTGAGTTTGCTCCTGAATACATGTTGACATGTAAGAAGTGATTAGTACTTTGAGTTCATTGATTGAGACGTCCTCACGGTGTAAGCACTGTAAAATAATAAGTGTCTTTATCTGTCATGTAGATAGTAGCCCGAGAGTTTAGGCGTGAATAGGCGCGACCGAAAACTACTGACATAATACTTGGTTTGTTGGCAAACGTCAACCCCATGGATCTCTCCTATCGTGGTGTCACCCCCTGCTATTTGTTATCAACGATGGAACACGCGCCATCGAATAGTGTGTGCGTTCAACTCCCCGTCAAGTTAGGGATGAGCCGGTTAGTGCAGTGGTACAACATCTTACCTTGTCTTCATAGCATGTCCCTGGCTTGTCTAGAGAATTTTGACGCAATAGGATGTACCCCACACTAACTAAGCGCAGCAGAGGTACATGAGTCCTCAAAATCCATTGTTACCTACTACTAGAATATAGATCAGGATGAAGATTAAACCGGTGTCAGAAGTATGAAACATGATCCTGACAATGAGTGTTAAATAAATAATAAATTCATCGAATGCTCGGATTTGGCGCCTTCTGCTAGAAAGAAGTTGTGAGGGAGGCAAAGGAGGGAGTACACTACCCGAGGCATAGATACTCCAGGCCTGTAGGCAGAAAGGACCTAAATGTCCTTACATAGTTGTAGACTTTTTAGGACAATAAACACTCACTCACTTACTTGGCGGCTTCAAGCCCGTGCTGGCTTTATCGGAACTTATGTACTTTAAGTAAAATAACTCAATATGACGTTTAGGACTCTCACACTCAGATTTGATTTGCGAACATCAGTAGAAGTTAACTCTTACGGCGTGTAATCTCTTCCGTTGGAACCACCACAGGGAAAAGCATGGATAACTATTGAGAATCTGCGCGTGCCTACACTTCCCATAAATACAATATCAAAGTAATAGAGATGATTAATTAAGCCTCACTGAGTTCGGGTCGGGCTCCTCACGCGCCCAGAATCAACTAGGGAAAACGGCTCGATTGGTGTACCACTGCACCACCCAACCCGAATCAAGGAGCGAATCCCAAATGCCAATCCCACTCAAACGTTGAAATACCTTGAAAATTGGTCCATGAAGCAATTACTCAAGACTCCACTCAGCATAAATCTCTCCCACCAAAGGAGTCTAATTATGACAAATGACTTGTCAGGACTACGAGTTTGACCCAGTGCATCTTAATTTCTATGCCCATTACTCCTGTCGACCATTTGCCTGGCTTCCTATTGTGTTTGTGTTTATTGTGCTACTTGAGTCTATGACTATCTAGCACATTGGGCTCCTCTCTGACCCAGGCCACACCTTGTACAGTGCTCATATCCTCTTTTGTTACTTGAAAGATCATTGATATATTCCCCTTGATGAATAGCCATTCAGCTCGTTATTTACCCGTGGAATTCAGCCACCTTTTCCACAGAACCTTCTACCCAAAAAAAAAAAAAAAAAAAATGGTAGCAACGGAAACTGCGTGCGCGGGAAAAAGTCTCAAAAAACCTGCAGCCCCAGCCATGCGAGGCCTAGACACCGGGACCACATGAGATGCGCATATTCATCTATATCTCCCTTCTTTGTAACAGTCGAGGTCGACTTGATCCAGTCCGCCATCTACGTATCGTGTGCTGGGTACGCTCCGGAAACTCATCAGATGGTTTTTCCTCCATGATCAAGGGTTGGTGATGAGTAGGGCTCCGACCCTACCATCTGATCTGATCGTGGTTAACTTCATGATAATGGTGATAGGGGAATGTGTTGAGAGATGAAGACGATACAGACCGCGAAAGCGATTGGGAATCCTCTTCGAAGTGAGGACTTTGTTACTCAATCTCGGCTCTGCAGACTCTACAGTGAGAGCTGGAGGTTCGTAGGGGACACCGCTGACAGGTGTTGAGAATAGTCCCCCTGGCTTCCTATTAAACTCCCACGCAAACATGATCAAGTGCAGCGGGATGTGTGTGTGTATTTTGTTTATTGTACTACTTGAATCTATGAATATCTAGTGCAGCGGGGTGTTTTTTATTATATTATTAATTTGCCAATAAAAATGACACTTATCACCCACCTACTTGACCTTACGCAAGAGTGGGGCCGGGCCGGATCAGGTTAACTACCGTAACCTGGAAATTTCTCTCCCTACTTAAATGACCGGAACCATGCCGAAGCGCATCTGCGTGCTGAATGATAACGAGCGCAACAGCCCAGAATCTAAACAAAAGATAAACATGAACCATCTTCATTCCTTCATCCTGCCTCGACCATCGTGTAACCGAGCCTCATTTCGTGTAAATTTCAATTTTATTGCCATAACTAATGGTTTCCTTGTCACAAAATGCCTGGCATTGTCAGCTCTCCGTTGCCCAAACTTTATTATTATTATTAATTCATTTTGTTGTCCTGTCTGAGTCTATGACTATGTAGGACATGCAGGTCCTCTCTGCCTACAGGCCAAGGATACCTATACCAGTAGTATATCCCCTCCTATGCCCCCCATAAAGCTCCCCTCAAACAGTACCACCCCTCACAAGTCCTCATTCGATCATACACTAAGAGGAGCCCTTAGCCCTTCATTATCTCCCCTCTCCATCCAACGAAACAATGGCCATTTGCGGGTGTATGGCAGCCGGGAAAAATCGCAAAAACCACTGGGTGCGGAGCTCTCCTAATACCGACATTAGGACTAAATCCGAAGACATAGTGACCCTTCCGAAGCGTTCGAAGAGGCCGGCCAGCTGGGCGCTGCAGACTTGTGGGTACCTCGGGAAATTCACACTCTGCCTTTCTAGCCTCCTTCCGGAAGGTCGTGGTGAAATGTCAGAAAAGTCTCGACAGAGCGTGATTACTGTATAGTAGCTTAGCCTAGCTTTGCCCAAACTTTCCACCTCGTTTATTTTCGTTAAATGGATCGTATTTGGGCAGTATGAATTGTTCCAACTAATTGCGGTATTCAGGTTGTCGTTAGGACACTATCAGGGATCTGACTTAGCTCATTAGCGAGGCGCTTGGAGTAGAGGAAGAAAGGGCAGAGGGGGAAGGAAGAAGAGGAGACAACGTTTTATGTATTTCGAGATACCAGTTAATTGAGATTTTTCACCGACTTCGTGACGGACAGCTGAATTCATGACAGCACCCAATTTGTATTACTTCTTGTTTTACAAACATTTATTCCGCTGCCCTGTGTTGTAGCTTTGTCGTGGAGTGATAGATATGAGAGTGAGGTTTATGGGTCACGATGTATGAGATAACTGAGGTGCGAATGTATGAGTTCCTTACTATTGTTGTTTTACTAGTTAGGGTTGTATTATCTACATACACAACAGGATTTCTCCATCTACAAGTGGGCCAGATCGCTTAGATCTGGCTAGCGGCTTTCGCCATCCTCTTCCTTCTCCCCCGCATGGCATCACGTGCTATACAACTACTGCTCACCATGAAGTCCGAGGATGAAAAGCGTTAGATTACAACACCCTGAACGTACTCTTTGAACAGTTGCCATTCGCTTGATCCGAGTAAAGATTCTAACAACGGCACCTTCCGCCCTCCGCGTTTGAGCTGCCACGTTACAATTGCTTTGATAGACTAGAAAAGGTGATTGTCGGAATACTTCGGTGGTAATTGATATCACAAGCTTGATGTAGCAGTAACAATTATGGTACGTATGAATTGATCTATCTCCCCCCTGTCTTCCTAGAAGAAAAACATCTATAAACCGTAAAACCTCCGTCTCCTAACGCCATTCCCAAACGGGTACCTCATTACTCATCAACACAATTAGTCATTAGTTCTAAGGAAATACATATTGATAATTTGATCGTTAAGTCATTAAACAGTGATTGATTGAGTTTTCCCTGACACACTCGCAGTAGGGTGCGGCTGTGGTGTGGTTGAAGCAGTGATGTTATACTGCAAAGTCTCCATGTCCTGTTCATCTGGCGATCAGGCGAGCGTAGATTGTTCTCAGAAGCGCTAGTTCTGGCGGTTTCTTGCGCCGTAACTCGAGTTAGAGGTCGACGTAGCATTTGGAGCTGTTTGATTGCCGCCTGTACGTTAAAGTTTGCCTTGCCAGTTCAAGAGCTTACCGTCCGGATGAAGATAGGGATAATACATCATATGACGTCCTTGCGTTATCAAACGACTCAAGCTCTTTTCGGGTATGCCCATCGCAATTTCATATCCTGTCAGCCTTGAGATGCCCGGGACCCATCATACCCTCAAGGGCGCGGCTATATTTGCAGCCATCCTCCAGAAAATTTGGACCCTTAAAGTTACAAGACTCTTGTTCCCGTCAGTGACGTCAGGATAGCCGCGAGTGTAGCTGGATTTAAGTCTCAGAGAACCAAACTTTGTAGGAAAAGTAAGGATAAAGGGAAACCTAAATTCTGAAAGTTGTTACAATCTGTTGTTATGTGAAATCTCTCAGCAAACCATGTAAGCTGCACTAGGTGATATACAGACCAATACAAGATGTGATTAGTGTGATGAGATCACGGACAGTTGTATGGGGATGAGACAGAAGAATGTAAAGTATTCTTTGAAATAGTATGGAATCTTCTACTAACAAGGAGACAGTTTGAATGAATAAATGAAAGTTTATTCGTGACGGGCACAAGCCCTGCACTCAAAGAGCATGACACGGAGAAGGCGAGTCCTTCCCCGACGACTATATTCGACGATAACTCAATTTGACATTTGGACTACTCATGTAGTGGGTGAATTCGCTGATACCACTCGAGACCTTGGTGCTGGGGACTTTCACCCTTCCCTCAACCGTTAATATCCACCAGAGGGAAAACAGTAAAAACCTTTGGTAACCCTATTATGCCTTTGTCATCTTGTATACGGCCGCTGCGCTAGATATGGCCCCACAATCATGCCTCTTTCGAGTGAGGTAAGTGTCCAGGTTACCCAGACTTTAATTCGGGGAGATGACGACCAGGAGGCGGACCAAAACACTTTCCATCGTTGCCTGTTTTTAGAGTGTCAGTTG